GTGTGTGTGTGTGTGTGTGTGTGTGTGTGTGAGATGTGGGTATGCGCGAGTGTGTGTATATGACCAACAGTAGCGCGGGGACGTCACCGATAAATGCAAAACGAGGAGATAAATGTAATGCACTAGGGGGGGGAGGGAGGAAGGAGGGGGAGAGGGAGAAGAAAATTAGAGGTGACGAAAGAGCGAGACGATCAAGGCAATAACCGTTTTTTTTTCCTCTCTCTTTCCTTCGTTTCTCTGCTTCTGAGAAACCCTTTTCAGGACGAACTCTTTAATACTCGTGTCGCTTACGCGCGCGCGCGCGCGCACGCACGCATTCCTGATGGGTATTCGCGGCGTCCGTCGTGTCGTGTCGTAGGCGTGGGTAGAGACCCAGCGACGGTGACGACGGTGGAGGTGAGCGCGCGTCAATGCTCCGTACAGAAACGGCACTGTGCGTCGCCCCGCGAGTCCTCCTCGCGAGCCCGTGTCATGAACCCGTGCGTACCAACGGCGTCGTCCGCGTCCTCGTGTTTCCGCCACCTTTCTTCCTTTCCGCGATCATCCGCCGCCACCGCTGTTCCAGTCATAGACCCCGTCGACCGACCCGAACCGCTCCGTTCTTCCGCCGCCCTCGCCAGGCAATTTCGTCGCCTCGTCGACGCCTCCCGTGTCTGTCGATTACCTTGTCGTTCTCGTTCTCCTCGTCTTCCTCGTCCTCGTCCTCGTCCTCGTCCTCGTCCTCGTCGTCGTCGTCGTCGTCGTTGTCGGCTAGGCGCATAGAGAACGCTGAGCTACACCAGTGCACGTACATAAATCTCCGCTCTCAGACTGTCGCAGTCATCCTGTCTCGCGCGTATAACGTACACGCGGCCCGACACACACTACGCAACACACGCACCGATATGTGCGTCACGAGCCGACTGCCGACTGATCAGCTGTGTGTCACGACGCAGGGGCGTTAAACGTCCGTCCTGCTCCCCGCATCCCCGCCTATCCCCACTCCTTGCGCGCGCCAACACGTCATGATCCTTTCTCTCTTCCTCTTTCTCTTTCTCTC